AGAAAGATTGTTTGGTGCTTTATTATTATCCAACCCCAAACAGGAAAAATCCACAGGTCACGGGACAGTCTAATATTTCAAGGGGTGGTAGATAGGCGGCACTCTCTTGTGGGACGTAGGTGGGTTGGGGTTAGGGCCAGTTCCAGATGTTTTAGGGTCGTTAAAAGCATCAGAAAGCCGGGAAACCCAGTCTTACCACTATCTAAAATGTTGGACTGTCCTGTGACGTCATCTGGGGGTAGGATATTAATAAAGAACCGATTGTTTTACTATTTATTATGACTGTTCAGTACTTAATATTTATTACCAACACGCCACTCTGTTTGCGTGTCTAACGTAGCGACAAGTATGCTCACTGCATGTTTACGTCACTAGCCGTAAACGCATATTCCAAGAGCGAAACAACCAGGCGAAACATTTCATACTATTAAATAAATTTATTAAAAAACGGGGGGGGGGGGGGGGGGGGGGGGGCCCTGGGGGGGGGGGGGGGGGTTGGGTGGGGGGCCCTAAATTTGAAAAGCAGGCACTCACCCCCTTCCCCCCCCCCCCCATTTTTTCTCGCAACTTGTATTGGAGTTTTGTTGTTGAAATTTCTGGCTTTCAATGTTATATTATTTTAAATATATTATTATATTTGATTGACACTCAGCACATTATCATTATTATTAATAATATTATTATAAAGCACTTAAACAAATCTTCTTTTTTTTTATTGAGTGTTTTTGTTTATGTGGGTTTGTGTCTGTTTTACTGCCCTGCTTGTTTTTTGTGTAAATAAGTTGTGAGTGTAATTTTACATGTACTTTTGAAAGTACGTATGTACCATCCTTGCTTTTGAATTTTTACATTCATATTATGAGTTTTGATACACAAACATAACATGCTTGATATATAAACTACAAATGCCGTGTGAAAGATGAATGACAAAAAGGGTCGTATGTAGGATTCAACCCTCTCCCCCCCCCCCCCCCCTCCCTACTGGCCCCAACTCCATCCCACCCCTTCCGATAGAAATCTTGACCATTAGTTTTATTTCTAACAAGGCAGGGTTACCCTAATGGCTATTTTTGTGACATTATTGCCCCGAGTTCAGCCCCTCTTCGATCATCACTTGTTATAGATTCTACACACTTGACCTGTTTTCCTGTTTCGAATTCCTTTTCATATATTGACATGTTTTTATTGATTCTTCCTTTGTTATCTGTCTCTTGTTGGGGTTTTATTTTCCTGCATTGATTGAAATGCTGTTTTCCAGGTGCTTTTTTTCAAGTCTGCTTTTAGTTTTTCCAACTCTTGCTTGTCTTCAGTTGAAATGTCTCGATATTATTTGATTTGTGGATTGTTGAGACAGTCAACACTCCGATCTTAATGTACATTTGTGCAATTTCCCGCCTCCCCCCCCCCCCCCCCCCCCCCCCCCCCCCCCCCCCCCCCCCCCCACCCAGAGGTGCAGGTACTCACCATAGAGTGTCTATTACAGTGAAAGTAAATCTCAAACACTAAACTACTTCAAGCTACAAACCAAGAAACTTTAGACAATATGATAACCAAGAGAAGATGGAAATGGCTTGGCCTCGTTATGAGAATGAATTCTGATATACCTATCCAAACAGCTCTCACATGGACACCAGAGGGAAAGAGAAAACAGGGGCGCCCAAAAACAACATGGAGACGAACAATGGAAAGTGACCTGAGTGCGGCATCTTTGACATGGAAAACGGCACTGAAGATTGCACAGGACAAGAACGCATGGAAAGTCCTCTCTGAAGCCTCATGTGCCACTAGGCATAACGAGAACTGATGATGACAGTAAATGTAAAGTGAAGGAGCCCTTTCCACGCCTTAAGGCGTATAAGACATACAGGACTAGACCTATATTTCATAAACCAATCAGCACATAGTGGGGCAACATTCCCCCTCTACTAACCAGGACTATACTTGGTACCCACTCAAGGCTAGGTCGACTTGGGAGCCAAGGTCATTTGTTAAAAAAAAAACCAAAGTCTGGCATCGTCAGGACTCGAACCCACGACTTTCCGATCGGCAGGCCAGCGTCTAGCCACTAAACCGCCTCAGCTACCATCTATTACAGTCAAATTAAAAAAAAAAAGCATGCATAAAAAAGGTGCCGGTACAGTACCGGCTGAACCACACACACACCCCCGTCCGAAACTTTTGTGACTAATCAAGTAAGTAAAAGAAGATTTTGTGTGAATTAGTAAACTTTTTGCATCACCGGCAATGTATATTGTGCTAATCTCTTTTCTTTTGATCTCATCCATAGTGTAAGGTGTTCTCTGGCATTTTACGTTTGACAAAAGTATACTAAAAATCTGGCCACCATGGTGTCCACTTTTACAGTATGTTTAGTCTTTTAACGTTACATCCACTTATGCATTTTTCACTGTGGCTGTAATTTGGCTGTGATCATCGCTCGTCGTGCAGACCTTGTGGTGTTGAAAGTCAGTCAGTCGGTCGGTCATTCAATCAGTCAGTCAGTCAGTCAGTCAGTCAGTCAGTTAGTCAGTCAGACAGTTGGTCAGTCAGACTATTGGAAAGTAAAGGGTTCTGACAATCCTTCGAAACAAAAGGATGGGTTCGACAAGTTCATTGTGAGCCTTTGGCTGAGTTTAGCCAAATTACTGTAATGGTAAAAACCCACTTCTTCAGATTTCAAAAACTGTGTATTTCAACGGGCTCAGCCAAACGATGGCTAGCTTGCTTGCCAGACTGCCCAATCCCAAAACCTCTACGAGACGAAAATATTTATAAAACAGGCACTGAAATGAGAAACAAACGGTCTGAGAGAAAAAGAGAACGTCGAAGAGAAACATTAGGAAGAGCCTTAAAACGAAAGGCTAAAATGCTGGACTGAACTTTATTCAGAAATCGATAGAGTTGCATGCAATAAAGCGGAGTGGAGGCATTTAATGCGAGCCGTATGCAACGTCTATCAGCACACATAGGATGATGATGATGACTAGGCTCTAAGGTCCACCCAGAATAGGTAAGTGGAACAGTTCTGTGACGCAAAGGCGATTGGAATGATCTTGAACACAGCACCCATCTATCGCCATTTGGTTTACAAAAATATTGAGCCAGATCACATTCTTACTCATTGTTTAAAAAAAAAAAGTAAAGGACCTTTTTCCACACCTTCAAACGTACTGGGTATATAGGGCTAGACCTATATTTTATATAACAAACCCCACTTGGTGGGTGGTATAGTCAGCATCACGCCGGCTGCGTTTATTTCCCGGGAGTGTACCTGGTACCCACTCAGGGCTGGACTGACCTTATTGTTCTGAAAAGAAGTGAGTGAGAGAGAGAGAGAGAGAGAGAGAGAGAGAGAGAGAGAGAGAGAGAGAGAGAGAGAGAGAGAACAAAAACACATTTGCGCCGTCTTCAATGGTCTTCGGGAAGAAAGACCCAAATGTCTTCACGGTACGACTCTCGTGCCATTATCTGTTAGAAATTCGCAAGAAAAGTATTATTCTAAACAACTGTTGTTGATCGAGGATTGGATTGGTCTATAACAAACAATCACATATTACTTGCCTGAGATGTCCTCCCAACACAGACCAGATGATGCGTGCACCAGCCCACTCTGATGGATACCTTCTTGTAACTTTATCTTGTCTAAATCTGGGTTCTGAACATGCGATGATATGGACACACATCTGCGTAATACACTCTAGTAACCTTCTTAGCAGTCGGAAATTCGTCTGTTTCGCAGGCACTTTAGAAGTTCGTAGGGACGAAAAGTCTGTTATACTATGCTCTTGTAAGTTTCACCGAGGTCACAGATTCATGTTCTAACCTGTACTTTATAGTGATACAGAGATAAATCTGTGAAATACTTTCTTGTAACTTTCTCTGGGGTCAGAAATTCATCTTCTTGGATCGTACTTCACAGAAATACAGAGATAAATCTGTGAAATACGTTCTTGTAACTTTCTCTGGGGTCAGAAATTCATCTTCTTGGATCGTACTTCACAGTCATACAGAGATAAATCTGTGAAATACGTTCTTGTAACTTTCTCTGGGGTCAGAAATTCATCTTCTTGGATCGTACTTCACAGTCATACAGAGATAAATCTGTGAAATACGTTCTTGTAACTTTCTCTGGGGTCATAAATTCATCTTCTTGGATCGTACTTCACAGAAATACAGAGATAAATCTGTGAAATACGTTCTTGTAACTTTCTCTGGGGTCAGAAATTCATCTTCTTGGATCGTACTTCACAGTCATACAGAGATAAATATGTGAAATACGTTCTTGTAACTTTCTTTGGGGTCAGAAATTCATCTTTTTGGATCGTACTTCATACGTTCATACAGAGATAAATCTGTGAAATACGTTTTTGTAACTTTCTCTGGGGTCAGAATTTCGTCTTGTTGGCTCGTACTTTGTACAGAGATACACCTGCGAAATATGTTCTTGTAACATTCTCAGTGGTCAGAAATTCATCTCCTTGGCTCGTA